GTCGAGGATGCAGCTGGCGACGGAGGGTTGAGTGTTGGCGGCGGTTGGATGCTGGCGGCGGCAGTAAGGGCTAGGTCGGGTGGAATTAGGGTTAGGGTTTTAATTAATTAATTAATTAATTTGATAAGTAAACAATTAGATTGATTAGTAAACAATTAGATTGATTAGCATAATTAACTACTATTTATTATTTGAGTTATATAACCCATTAAGCCAGACCTGATCTAGGATTTAATGGACCCGACCCGCTACAGTAATGGATTGGATCCATTAAAATTCTGACTCAACCCATTATGAAATGGGTTAAACCCATTAATTTCCAGACCTGGCCCATTATAGCTTTGATCATTCTTTTTGTTTTGGTCGCAACAGATCCGTTTTAAGTCCAATTTGAGCCCATAAATAATCGTTGGAAAGATCATTCTGTGTACTTTTTAACTATATAGTTTTTATTTTCATTTTATAAAGTTTTAATATAGGAATTTGGATAATTCATAAAAAATATTGTATGCACATAAAGATTATTGATTTACTCTGATTATATCCTTAATTCAGGTGGGGTAAATATTTGGGCTCATGGTAAAATGGATTACAATATATATTAGATCAACCTATGGGGTTAAGGTAGATTAGTAAAATAGTCACTTAGAAATTATGGTACAGTAGGTTAGTGTCTTGCCTAAAGGTGACCAACTTATAATACCCTGATTTTCTAAGGTTGAGTTTAGTCTTATTTGGACTGGAAGGTTGCACTTACCTGTGGTAGAGTAGGTTAGTGTGTTGCCCAAAGGTGTCAAGGAAATCCCCTACAGAATAAGTGGTGCTAGATAGTAAAAACAGGTCAGTGAGAGGAGAATAGCCCTATTGCCCAAAGATTAGAAAGTGTTCAAATCAAACTGATGTTGTGTAGGCTAGTCCTGTAGGTGATTATATATCACATTTGGGGGGCGAATAGCATGTCAAATCACTTGCCCAAAGGTGTGATGAGATGATGCATCCGCCTGTCCCGCAGAGTGGAAGGTTGCATACATAAAACACTCTGACCCATCCATTATAACCCTAAATTGGATATGGAAATATTAAAGTTAATAAAATTAAAGGTCTAATTTGATTTATACGTCCATGGCTTAATGCAGATGGACGGATAGTTTATCCAGAAGCATCTGACTAGGATTGAGCCCCTCACCAGTTCCAACTATGGTAACTGGAAGATGCAAGTTGAAATAGTATTTGGGTGTCTTGACTACGACTATGTTCTCACAGAAGATAAGCCAGAAGAGCCTGATGAGTCATCAAGTCTATCTGAAAAGAAATCTCATGCTAAGTGGGTCAAAGCCAATACCAGAAGAGCCTGATGAGTCATCAAGTCTATCTGAAAAGAAATCTCATGCTAAGTGGGTCAAAGCCAATAAGCTTGCAATGCTGATCATTAGAGCGTCTATCTGAAAAGAAATCTCATGCTAAGTGGGTCAAAGCCAATAAGCTTGCAATGCTGATCATTAGAGTATCAGTGGACCAGACTATTCGTGGAGGGATTCCGGCTTGCGAAACTGCTAAGGAGTTGCTTAAGACTATCAAGAAGCAGTTTGAGGGATCCGTTAGAGCGAGACAGTATAGTTATCTGGTCAAACTCATTAATTAGAAATATGATGGAAGTGGTGATGTTTGTCAGCACATTTTGAAGGTCTCTCTGTTGATCATTCATCTTAGGGAGTTAGGACTTTAGTTAGAGGATGATCTGATTGTTCATTTTGCAGTTGCTTCTCTACCAAGTAAATTTAACACTTTTAAGGTGAATTGTAGTTCTCAAGATAGGAAATGAGACTTGAATGAGCTTATTGTTGTATGTGTTACTGAGAAAGAGCGATTAAAAACAGGAAAAGCTGAGATGGCAAATCTGGCACATGGCAAGCTTGGACCAAACAATGTAAGAAAGAAATTCTTCAAGAATCAAGGGCACAATAAGGGGAAGAAATTTTTGAGCAATCTTTCAACTGTTTCTAGCACTTCTTCAGCAAGAGAAAAGGTTGAATGTTTCTTCTACAAGAAACCTGATCATATGAAGAGACACTACAACAAAATATAGTATTTCCGACAAAACAAAAACATCGGCAAAAGTTTAAAAAACATCAGAAAAATCTTTTCCGACGCAAAATGTAGCGTCGCTAACTCATCGCCAAAAGTGCATCAAGGAAAGTATTTGGCAATGCAAAACAACCTGCATCGGTAAAATCAACACTTTTAGCAATGCTTCATGCGTCGAGAAAAATACATCTTTTAGCGATGTATAATAGTTTGCGTCGGCAAAAGGTATGCATAATTTTCCCAAATGCAAGGGTGCGTCAGCAAAAGTAGTACTTTTGGTGACGCATGTTGTGTTGGAAAAAACCAAAACATCGGCAAAAGCATAGCTTTTAGTGACGCAAAACTGCTTATCGCTAAAAATTATACTTTTGGCGACGCAATTTAGTGTCGGAAAAAGTGTAGCTTTTAGTGACGCTTCATTCTGCGTCGCTAAAAGCTATATCTTTGGCGACGCAAGATAGTGTCGCTAAAATATATTACTTTTGGCAATGCAATATAGCGTCGGTGAAAGTGTTAGTTTTAGTGATGCAATTTAGTGCGTTGCTAAAAGTTAAAAATTTAGTGACACAATTTAACGTCGGCAAAGGTATAATTTTTGGCAACGCATGATTATCTTTTCTGTCAACTACAAGCCTACACTGAACCTGAACATCCACAAAAAAATTACACTCGTTCACATCAATAAAGAAACCAAACATCAAATTATACTCCAAACATGTTGCATATTATGATAAACAAAGAATTTACTCCCATTACAAATTATTTACATTCATTTCCATTTCCAAGTCAACACTCAAAGGCCTGTTTAAATATTCCAGTTTACTTGTAATCCATAAAAAAAAAGAAACACAATTTGCTTGATCAAATTCGTTGCTTGATCCCGTCTGTTATGTTTCTCTGCCTCATCTGGTGCATAATTCTTCCTTTTGCTTCATATTCCTATTCCTCCATTTGCACAAAGTGCCCAAGCTGGCAAGCCCAAGCTAAAACTATCAAGCCTGTCCATATTGACTCGTGTTGCATGAAAGTGATTTACTAAAAATATTTAGCCCGCATTTCAAGAAAAAAAGATTTTTAATTATTATTTATCCTAAGACCTTATTAACCATTCTGTTCTTTATTTTTCTCATATGTATTCTTCCATTTTAGCTTATGTTTTCTAAACCTAAAAATATATATATAACATTTTAGCTTTATTATTACCATTAATTAATTGATCCATCAAAAAATGTTTTTGCAATATCATGGCTCTCAGAGTATGATAGCAAAAACGAGGGACGAATACACAATTTTCACGAAGTGATGAAGGCAACAGATCCGCGTGAAAAATACTTCAGACATAAGAAAGCTGGGGACGAGATAGAGGATGAAAAATTATATGCAAGTCTGAGCTCATCTCAATGAGAAATCTCTACTACCACCGCTCCCTCCAGGCTGGCTACGTGCAAATAGCTGATGCACTAAAGCCTCAAGATCAGCAGTCTTCTGGGCTTGTACGTTCATCTGCTCGGCTTGTGTGTTCATCTGCTCGGCTTGTGAGGTAATCTGTTCGGCTTGCACAGCTATTGTCTCCTTTAAAGCCACGACCTCAGTATCTCGCTCAGCTGACTTTGTAATAGACATGGTAGATGAACTCCCTCGATGGTGGATCCCATACCCCTTCAGGTAACCTGGTCTCCTTCCAAGTACATCAATGGAGATCTCAAACTCGTTCATCGGGGATGTAACTTCGGGCTGAGATTGTTTGATAGCCTTGTTGACTAATCACTCCTGTCATTTTTAAAGATGTAAGATCCATATCATTAATGAATAGATATAAGTTTTTTGTATAGATTGATTTAACAAAAGTAAATTGGACATACGTACATAGGTATCTTGTGCTTTCTCATTTACCCATACTTTCCTTTTTTTACAAAAGTAAATTGGACATACGTACATAGGTATCTTGTGCTTTCTCATTTACCCATACTTTCCTTTTTTTGTAGTGGATTTCCTTGTAAAATTCTGGAAAAGAGGGAGCTTGCCCATCATGCCTTGATTTCTGTAATTTAATAAATTTATCATTAACGTTGTTAATAACTATTTATAGTCTATTTAAAAAGTAAAAACTTATAAAGCAAAACTTACAATTAGTGACATCACTGCTGCAAATGATCGGGAACCAGATATATGATTGTAGGGCAACTTTTAAAACATATAACAAAAAATGAAATTTACATGACAAATTAATAAAGTGATTTGAGATCTATACCTCCCATTCTTCACTTTCCCACACATCGATCATCGATATCCAATCATTAGGCTCCACACGCTTTGGTGGATGGTTATTGGGATCAGGTACTCCCTTCTCTATTAAACCAAGATAGTAGGCATGCAACTCATGCTTCCAATTTCTATATATATACTCTGACACTTTTTATTTATGGAATTTTGGATGACTAGGTCGTTCTCATAGTCCCCGACATTAAATCTTTGCTACAAGTACAGTTAAGCATAAATATACATATAAGCATTAATATCCTTCAGAATTTAAGTATGAATATACAAGTACATATAAGCATGAATATCCTTCGGAAGTTAAGCATGAATATACAAGTACATTAATATCCTTCGGAAGTTAAGCATGAATATACAAATAAGCATGAATATACAAGTACATGTATTCAGAAGTTAAGCATGAATATACAAGTACATTTCTATATAAATGTTCAATGTCTCCCCATCACACGTATGATATAATGTTACACTTTAGTATATTGTGGCATATACTCACTGATATATGAGGACGTATCCCATCACGAATTTACTGACCCAAACTATAAACCTCTAAATGCAACAAGTATTCTGTTTATCTTAAGATTATAATGACTTGGTAAACTCTATGACAAACAAACACTTGGAGACTTCCGCCGCTGCTAGAGTACAATAATTATAAAAACTTTTATTTCCAATCTTAGGGGTCAACCGTGCGACTAGCTTGCTCTGTGTAAGGGCTATTTGAATTTTTCTGTTGATAAAAAATTGTGATTAACTGAACAAAAATATCTCCCTCATTTAAAAGGAGGGATGTCATGTCAAGCAAGCCTAATCATTTAGACAGTTAAAATAGAAACAATTATGCTAGATTGTCAATCCACAAATAATCTCACTCCTGAAGTTACACAAAGGTGCCAAGAAACTGACAATGCAAAATATAAGGATATGTACATCTTTAGCTATTCATACACTTGACTAATATTTTCTTACACATTTATATGAAAATGGAATAAAAAAAGAGGATAGAAACCAAAACCAAATTTCTTTTCTTATACATAAACTAGGACGGAGAGACGATTAATATGTGGGAAATGTAATGCAATAATACCCATGGTTCTTGATCAGTTTGACTTAATTGCAGGCTTCATCAATTTCTCATGTTTCAGCCCAAGCACTGATGCATTATGACTCAATAAAAATGAATACGGTTATACTCTGGTCAATTGTGGGTTCTGCAAAGGCTTTAAGCTATCTCTTTTGGAAGCATGAAAATCATAGATATTACCATTAAAGAATATCATTAAAGATGATTAAAAAAATACCCGAACTCTCATAATGATCGCCTCTCGACTCCCAGCATCAATATTTTCCTAACCACAATTGCGAACCAGTACAGATGATCGGATCTCCTTCCCAATCTCATTCGCGAGGGATGTCGCATACTTCCCCTCCGGTGCTCCACTCGAAGAAGGGATCGGAACTAAAATCGCATGACACAATTGTCTTACCAATCTCTCTATCCCCTTCCCTCGTGTTGCACTGCGTACATTTCTACGGGTCGATGGTACCGATCCTACAAAAAATACAAAGTTAATTAAATTAAATTTTATATCTAATATAAAGGAAAGGTGAATCTGATATGTAAATAATGATATATTATTACCTACGGTGCTCCCGATCATTTGAGGGTTTTCTAGTTGGTCGGGCTGTGCAATGGAAAATAGGTCGGGGTGGGGCAGTTCGCTATGGGTACACTGGGGTGGCTAGTTCGAAGCAACCAAGATTCTCCTCTCAGGCACAGAAGTTGATGGTATGATATTTTTGGACATGTGTCCTGGAGCCATACGTGTTACCTGTTCTAATTGAGTAAAATGAATTATTAGTACACATAATGAAAAGAAATTAATAACAAATAATAATAAGTAATGAAATTGAGTAAAATGAATTATTAGTACACATAATGAAAAGAAATTAATAACAAATAATAATAAGTAATGACAAGGACAAGTAATTACAACTTAGTACACATAATGAAAAGAAATTAATAACAAATAATAATAAGTAATGACAAGGACAAGTAATTACAACTAACAATTAATGACAACACACAAATATATATTACCTCTTCTAAATCAACATTGTCATCTTCACTCGATGAGCTAAGCAAAATATCATCCATAAGCGGTTGATACTCATCATCATCCTCACAAACCTTTTTTTACTGCCTTTACTTTTCCTCTCGTGCATTGGCAATTAACGTCCTGGAAATTATTTGTGAATGTGGTGGTATTCCCAATGCTCTCATTCTCTCTATATTCTCATCTATTGTTTTCCTCCTTCTTGCCTCCCATATTTCTACCATTTTTCGTGTGGACCCCGGTTTGACCCATAATTTTTTACCACTGTGCATATTTGATAACTATGAAAAAATTTACATGCTAGAAAATATAAATTACGCTAGGTTGTAACATTAAACTTTTACACAAAAATGATAGAATGTAATTATGTTACTTTCAAACAATATTATTTCTTGACATTTGTTCATTTACGACACAAAAACATATACTACACATCATAATCCATATGAGGGTCTATATCTAAGTCAAACTGATTATGCAGATTATCTTCTTCATCATCACCATACTCTTCCATTGTTTGATCATTGTCAACTCCATACTCCGTATTTAGGTCAGCACTGGGAATGATAACGGGACCAATATCATCCCTATAATAAGGATAATTTGTTGTAGGCTCGACGAGAATTGGAACAGCGACAGTGGTTTCAACTTGTTGAATTTCATCGTTAAGCATATCATCATGGACTTGTTCCGGTACATCCCACACACTCCTGTACTGGATCCGTTCTATTACTTTCCAATGAGCACCAAATTTGGTATCATCAATGTAAAATACTTGCTTCACATGCTCTGGTAGCACAAATGGATCGTTTTGATACCAACGGCCCCTAACATCGATACTTGTGATATGTGTATCTTTATGTATTCTATTTTTACCGCCAGTGTTGAACCACTCACATTGGAACAGAACAACCTTACCCCCATGCAAATATTTTAGCTCCTAGACTTTGCATAAGTAACCGTAAAAGTGAATTGTTTTTCCATCGTGATCCCCTTCCACAACCACACCACTATTTTGACTCTTACGACGGTTGTCGCGATCTTTAGTGTGGGACCGAATGCCATTACAAATGAACCCTTCATAGAGATGAACTAATATATCTGGACTATTTGCTAATGACCATAATTTATCAGTTGCCCTTTGTGACCCGATAGTTCGCAAATGATTTATCTACATAAACATGTTACAAGTGCATTAGGTATTCAATAATGTTATCTACATAAACATGTTACAAGTGCATTAGGTATTCAATAATGTTAATTTAATTTTAATTTATAAAATGACTTGTGCGTATTTCATGTAATCAATCAATTGGTTAGTAAAACTATACAACTGATTCAAACTTAAAAAACTTAATACATACTCTAGAAATGGCTCCAATTCGGGGCTATTATACAACACAAACCACTGAGCCATATCCAGATCTTTTTGAGACACATATAGAGCTCTTATGATTGATCTGAAGGGACAAGCACTTTGTGTGAAAACTGACAATCTAGGACCAAGTATACCACAATCAATATTGCATTATTCTCAAACAACTCCTTTCAGATACATTGAACAAAAAGTAAGACACTCTTTAGCAATGTAAGCCTCTGCAATTGAACCTTCTGGCCTGGCTCGATTGGTAACGTACCCCTTTAATATTCCAAGAAACTAATTAATTATGTAATACATCCACCGATAAAATAGAATAAGATTTATATGTAATAAAATTGCACAAATACGAAACTAATTAATTATGTGGTCCTATAATATCTACCTTTCGATCGGATACATCCACCGATATTGCACAGGGCCAGCAAGCATAGCTTCATGTGGTAAGTGAACAGCCAAATGGACCATCACATTGAAAAAGGCCGCTGGAAAAATCCTCTCCAGTTTACAAAGTATGAGGACAATGCATTCCTCTAACTTTTCCAAGTCATTGTGCCTCAATGTTTTAGAACAAAGGTCCTGAAAGAAGCTTCCCAACTTAAAAAGTGTTGTACCAATTTCCTTATTAACATATCTGTGCATCCCAATTGGCAGAAGATGTTGTAGATGCACATGATAATCATGGCTCTTCAGACGCGTCAATTTGCCACCTCTAGTGCTCACGAACCTTGACAGATTTATTGCATGCCCATCAGGATACTTAATCGATGCCAAGAATGCACAAAACCCTCTCTCTCTTTATGGGATAGTGTGTAGGCTGCCATAGGCTTGCGAATCGATCCATCTGGTTGTTTCCCTCTCTCTCTTTATGGGATAGTGTGTAGGCTGCCATAGGCTTGCGAATCGATCCATCTGGTTGTTTCTCTAAATGTAATTTTGACCTTATATCCATATCTTCCAAATTGAGGAGAGCTTTATTCGTGTCCTTATTCTTCCCTTCTGTACCCAGAATTGTCCTAATGATTGCCTCACATATATTCTTTCCAATGTGCATGGGATCCAAATTGTGCTGCACCTTCAGTTCTTTCCAATACGACAAAAAAGATACTTTTCTTTTTTCAATTTAGGATGATGGATTCATAGGGTCTTTTCCTCTTTAAAGGATGCTTTCCAAAATTAACATTTGGTAATTAATCCAACTGCTCAAGTACCTTTTTCATGGGTAAATCCAAAGATTTCACGTGATGTTCAGTCCTACCGTTAAAGTCCTTACTCCTTCTCATTGTGTGATTCTTAGGCAAGTAAACTCGATGACCAAAGTATCCAATCTTACTCCTCAATCAATGCAATAATGGATCATCATTGCAAGGTGGACAAGCCAAATAGCCTTTTGTGCTCTACCAAGACAAGTTACCA